AAATGAAAGGAACGGGGGTGGACCCTTTTTGGGGAAAACTTGAGTGTTGAAGGGGTCTTGGGGGGATTGTTGTTGCTTTTTTTTAGGGGGGGGTTTGGGGTGGGAAACTTGGGGGGGAGGGAGGACTTTGTAAGGGGATTGGAAGGATGGGTTGACGGCCAGGGGGGGTAGGGGTGCCGGGGGTTGCACTGTAAGTACTTTTCCATTTTCCTTTGGGGTTTGTTGGGGGGGGATTCCGGTTTTTTAATGTTTACCCCCAAAAAAGATAAAAGGGGTTTGGGGTTTCAATTTTTTAAAGGTTTGCTTGGGCCCCCCCCCCCCCCCACCCGCTACTTACTTGGGGACATTGATGACCCCGGAAAGTTGGTGTAAAATCAGTTGTTCCCCCCCCCCCCGCCGCAACGGTCAGCAGTAGTGCCGCTGTTTTTGCCTGTCGGGATTGTAGTCCTGCTTCACGCAAACGTTGGCCGAAAGTCGTTGCTGTTTCTTGCGCTGCTACTGCCGGCGAGGCTGTCGTTCGTTGTCCGAACGGTGATGTGCTTATTTGCTGCACTGACGGGGCGAACAACGTGTGCTTGTTCCTGCCTTGCGTGTTTCGGCAGACGAAGCTGGAGGCGACGCCCTCCAACACGCCTTGCGTGCTACGGCCCAGGACCAAGACCCAAAACAAATGGAGGTCATTATGAAGGTGGGAACAACAAGAAACATCCTCCCCAACCCTTGACAAACATTTCTTTCGGGCAGACGGTTGGAGTGCGAGTTCGGTGGGTCTGACCAACGCTGTTTACCCTCCCGTCCTTCAGAGGTCTTGAACGCCTTCCGATTCCGGGCCTAATTTCCCCGGCTGGTACGTGAACAGGTCCTGTTAGGTTGTACTGCGCGCATGCCCCAACCGTTTTGCTCGACTAACACCCCCCGCCCCCCCTGTAGCCTGGGCCAGCGAAACCCGGTATATCGCTCTGCCCCGGCGTTGTGTGGATGCGCGGTCAATGGTCTAACAACTCAAAGCATGCAAAATATGAGTACAACCACCCGCCCGTCTCTGTGCCCGAACGCGTGCTCCAGGCGTGGAAAGACGTTTACAGCTTCGTGATCCTGGTGGTCATCCCGCGGACGGCCCTCCGCCTCGAAGAGTCCGTTCGCAGCGCGGGGCCGGTCTCGACCATGCTCCGGCCGACCCCGATTTCCGGCACCCGGCTCAAGGTTCTCGAGACGTCGGCCCCATCTCCGCGCCACACCCGCAGCAGCAGCATCAACGACGATTGGCAACAGCAGCAGCAGCAGCAGCAGCAGCACGCACGCCGGTGGCACGGCGGGGCCCAGGACGGCGGCGCGCATGCGAGGTCTCCCCGCCCCTTGGTGGGGACGCCCAACTCGGCCGGCGCTGTCCCGGGCGGCCCACGCGAGGACCAGGAGTGGTTCGGGGCTGGCGGGAGGAGCCCGGTCCGTCGGTCCAGCAGCTCGGGGCCCTTCACCCGGAGCTCCAGCGGGCGCCGCCGAAAGAAGGGCTCCAAGGGATGGGCCGGCGGCGGGGGGGGAGGGTGGGGCAGGAGCTTCAATCACCGGTCGCCTGGCGCCGGTCTCGGCGGCAACGGCAGTGACGGTGGTGGCGGGAGACGCCGCCGGGCGGCCAGCGGAGGCAGCGGGAGCACGTTTGGGGTCCTGGGGGCCCCGTGGGGCGGGAGAGGGCACACCCTGGTGGCCCCGTACGCGGACAGCCATGACGGGGAGGACGGCGGCGGGATCTACCCTCCGGGCTCGCCGTTCTCGATGGCTTCCTCGGCGGGGTCGGGGATGCATCTGAGCCTGGCGGGCAGCGTCTCCACCGTGCCGAGGAACGATTCGATCTGCGCAAGCCCGGATGGCTCCTCCCGGGTGAGCGCGAACGGGAGGTCGGGGCCCGACGCGGGTAAGGGCGTGCGCGGCAGAAGGTCTAAGATCTTGAGGGGGCTGGGGATGATGGGTGGGCCGAGAAGCGGGGGCGGGGGCAGTGCGGAGGAGTTCGGCGGCGGCGTTCCCTCTAGCAGCCCGAGGGAAACCATCGGAGCGCGCGCGATGGCTGTGTTGGGAGGGCGCCCCCGGCGACAGAAGGAAGGTGAGAGAAGGCATGGCAGTAGTTAGGGTTTGGAGTGTTTCTTTCTTTGTTTGTTTTATGTCTGGACCGTATCCTTCGACGTCGTCTACCCCCGAAGCTTGTGAATGGTGAGGACGGCACTGCACACGTTGTGTTTATAGAGAGCTGGGCTCGCTGAGAGAAGGGTTGTGCCGGTGCACCGGCAGCGGTACACTCTTTAAGGTCGTGTGCTCGTTGTTTTCCATCATCCCTTGAGAATCGACTGCTTGGGACCGCGAACTTCCCATCCTGGGGTGGCACATGACATCCATGTCTCGCTCACTCATCGACCTTCTCCGCCTTGGTCGTCGCTATAGGCATCTCCGCCGGGAGGCAGGGGGTGCCACACATGATCGCGCCTGACCGACGCCAGCACAGCCGGAGCAGCAGCGTGGGCTCGCTGTCAGCAGCGGCGGAAACGGTCTCGCTCGTTGCGCCCGAAGGGGGAGGAAGGAATTGGGCCGGTGCCGGAGGCTACGGGGTGCCGTTTCCGACGACGCTCTCCAGTTCTCCGCGTGGCAGCGACCTCAGCAGCACCTACCAGCAGCGGCGAAAGGCGGACAGAAGCCACGACAGCAGCACCACTGCCGCCACGCCGCCGCTGGCGAGCCCCGCGAGCTCCGCCCTGTCGCTCCCCGTCTCTCGGTCCTGGGAGCAGTCTTCCGCGCTGCTGTCGGCGCGCCTCGGTAGCGGTAACGGCGGCGGCATCGGCATCGGCTTCTCCTCGAAAAGACAGCAGGCCGGTCGCAGCCTCGCCGCGGCCACGCCCAAGTCCCGGACCCCGACGGCCGCCGCCATGCTGCGGCAGGACGGTGGCTGGCACGACACGGGCGGTCACGGCGGCAAGAAGGAGGTCGTGAGGAAGGAGGGCACCCCGCGGTCCCGCCAGACCCCGCCGGCCACAGGGAAGAAGAGCCCTTCGGGTTTCGACAACAGCGGACGCGGCGGCGGTGCCGGTGGCAGGGGCGAGGTTGACGCGAGGCCAAGCAGGAGAAGCGCGACGGGCACGAGCCCCCGCGACCGGCGGCAACGGATCGGGAGGCCGCCGAGCCCGTCGTCGTCGCTGTCGCCACGCCTTCCCGCCGCCGCCGGTGGCGCTGTCGGCCGGAGACAGACGGCGGCTACCGCAACTGCCGTTTCGACGGTTGCCACCGCCACCGCCACCGCCGTCGCAAGCATCGCTTCCGTTTCGCCGCCCTCGTCTGCTGCCTTGCGGCCGTACGAGCTTATGGCCGAACGGGCGAAAAAGGCGGCGGAACCGACGCCGCTTCAGCTGCCGGCGAGTTCAACGGCTCGCATGGAGAAAGCCGCTGCCCATGGTGTCGGGGGCAGGGGAGTCAGCGAGGCGGGTGGCCAGCGAGACTTGCCCAGCGAAGCGTTGTCCCACGGCGATGGGGAGCCAGAGCCAGGTGAGTCCGACCCGAGACAGGCGCGCAGGGATAACGGGTCGCACCTGTCGAGCGTACCGAGAACGCCTGCAACTCGGTTTGGAGTGAGGGAGCTACACGGGCACCAGGCGGCGGAAGGGGGCGGTCTGCGCGAGGAACCCGCGCTCCTGCGTACCCCTGGGGGCGACAAGACGGGAAGGGCGCACCGGGCTTTTCCCTCGCCTGCCAAGTCTCGCAACGGTAGCAGGCGGGCGGCGAGACGAGGGGATTCCGGGTCGAGGTGAGATATTCGCCCTGGTGTAGGTTGTTTTTGGTCGGCTCCACGGACGGTCCAGAAGCGCCCCCCTCCGTTGTTGTGTAGAGTCGCCATGTGCAGAGCTCCTTGCTGCTGCGTCTGTGCGCAAAAAGAAGAAGCAATTACCAGGCGAATCTCGAGTCCAGTCGTTCGGGATATGGCTCCACACTCAGACGTGTTGTTGTGTGGTTGAGTCGGTGTTGTCACGCCGAATCAACTGCCATACCGCGGAATAGATTCACTCCGAAGTAGGGGAGTTACACGTGGGAGGGTCATGTAATGACGGCGTTCTCCGTCCGTTACGTGACACGGTGTTTGGTTCTGTGTTCGGCGCTCGTGTATCATTTCTTACATTCAGCCAACTTGGGACTCACGGTAACATCGCCCCCCCCCCCCCCCCCCGACTCTTTCCGGAAGTGAAACCCCCCCCCAAAACGTTTTCCCCCCCAAGGGACCCAACAAAAGGGGAAAAAAAAAAATCCCCCGGCGGGGTTTCCCTCCGGCGGGGTTTCCCCCCCCCCGGGTCCAAAAGAATGGGGGGGGGGGAACAAACTGGGGTTTTTCATGACGAACGGCGAAGAAGGGAAAACTCCGAACAACCAAAAAAATGGGGGGGGGGGGAAAGGGCCCTTCAGGGAACCCCCCGGGGCCCAACTGTCCCCCCAAACCCCCACCCTTTTTCGGTTTTTTGAAAAAGAAGAAGAACGCGGCCGGGAAGCGGAAACCAAAAACCAGCAACCGCTTAAAAACCGGGAAAAGGGGGCCAAAAAAAAGAAAGCCCCCCAAATTT